AATTCAAAAGGAAATAACTACTCCTAAAACAAGAAAACAAGAAAACCATAAAACTGACTAACATTCACATTGTCAACATATTTTTCTGCAAATCCATAAGAATATTTCTTAGAATAACCATATTACATTTCATTTCTTGAGCATGCATTTTTTCATCCTAGTTTGGTTGTTTTACATAAGAATGAACTATTTCTTTTTCATATCGAAATTGTGTTTCCCACACACAACAATATGTATTCATACTATTACACAACAAATAACTCAACAATTTAAATTGACACTCACATTTTTTATGACGTGTCTTGATATTTTAATTGTTCTTTTATTTTTTATATACACCACCTCTTTCTCATCCTAGTACAAGAAATCATTTTCTTCTATTTAAGAAAAATTTTATCCAATACCATAACAATTATCACCTCACCCTTAAATTTAAAAATATTTCAATTATATCTTTTTTTTATTACTAATTTCTTTTCGAAGTTGGAAATTTTTTTAACCCTACACCATACATTAGTGTACCAAAGAACATTACTTAAAGAACTCCATAAGTAATTTCTCTTTCCTGGATAAATTGTAATCAAGTATTTCAATAGGATTATATGTTCACTAGATAATTTACATTAAAGTTATTTAGTATTATAATCTTTTTTAAATAAATTAGTTATGAGTTTTTTGGTAGTTACCATGGTGTTCATTGTATAATTTAGTTATAAGTTTATCGGTAGTTTTTATTTTGTTCATTGGATAACTTAGTTATAAGTTTTTTTGATAGTTTTTTTAAACGTTTTGCAATTACCTAATAGACTGTAGTTTGAAAATCGTTGCAAAAGTGAACAAACCATTGCCAAAAGTGAAAAAATCACACTTAAAAACGTTCCAAAAGTGAATTTGTTTGATTGAGAAATTATAAATAGGAAATAAGGCAAGGGTTTAGACCACAAACTTATTTAAGGCAACCATTTTTTTTTACTTTAGACTATGGTTTTTCATTGTTGTCTAAACTCATTTTTGTTGTTAAATTATTCTGAATGCAATTTTTTTCTAAATATAATATAGATCGAATAATTTAGTAGAAATATTTCGGAAGAACTTAGTGAAATAGGTAATAGTTTTATTTACAAAGGTCACGGTTTTTCATTGTTGCCTAAAGTCAATCAGAAAGCAACTTTTTCAAAATTTATTGGCTTTTTTTCCAAATATAATTCTCAGATATTTTGGCCAAATTATAAAGGTGGATGGATAATTATTGGAGTATGGGTATAATTTTCTTATTGAGAATTTCTTAAATCATCTCTATAGGATGAAAAATATTTCTGAAAACTCAAATATTTTTCGGATGTGTATATTTAAAAGCACCATAAATCACATTTTCAAGATGTTTCAGATGTGCATATCCAAATTCCCCTTGTTTCAATATTTTATTATTTAAACGTTGAATTTAAAATGTCAGAGATAATTTCGGATAAGCACATCTGAAACCACACTGCATATATAAAAACTGAGGTTTCGGAAATGCATATCTGAAAGTTTGCCTATTTCTATCATTTTTGTTTAAAATATCAACATTACTACCTAATAAACGGGTGAAGGGGCAAACGTAAAATGATACAATGTGGATGAAAAACGAAACGAACTTAACAATTACATTAGATGTTCAGAAATAGAAGTATAATACATCAGTTGTTCAGAAAGTGCACAATATCAAAATATTACATCGATAAAAATAAAATAAAATAGCATAGGCTATTGCTACTGTGTATGCCTAATTCTAACCTCCTGTGACCTCCTCTTCCTACTATATCCCGCTGCACTGGTTGCCTCCATAACCATCATCTTAACGATGTCCACTGCCTCAGGACCACCCCTATCAATGATCCCTTTATCCAATGCCTCTTGCCCAAGTGTGTGTATCTGCTCACATATCGGAAAGACATATGTGACATAGTCTTTCTCAGCCTACTGGTTCTGCAAGAACTCCTTATAAGCTAGCCTAGGTGGACGTCCAGGACTATTTGGTGTCATGATATGATGTGACACTTTAAAGAACCTTGTCATGTATCCCTATACATAATGTCAACTATGGGATATCGAAATCATTTGATACCCCGGTGGCACCAAATGATTTTCCCAATCCTGAAAGATATCATCGAGTTCCCAATGGATAATGGTGTCAGGAGCAGCCTGAAAAGGAGATCTCGGTATCATATGTACAAAGCTAAACTGTCATATGTACCACTCCAGAAGATACCTGACCATAATATTCGACCTATATGCTAGCCACCCGGAGTATAGTGAGATGGGGTCGAAGGAGACACCATCCATGTGGTCCTCAAACAATGTCCATCAGATGTCATCATGGATAGTACGATCAAGATACACACGATAAGGCGGAACATCATGATTCCCTCTATGGAGGATGTACTTTGCAGCCCTCGGCATGTCATCACTATATTCCAGATCACGCTCGAAGCCATGAATGCGGTAGAAGTGAGAGATGATCTAGCTCTGAAACACGAATTAGAGAATATGAAAGTACAAATTATTAATAACAAATTAAATGTAATAGTTTGAATAAAAGGTAATGTGAAGAGTGTGCAATAGCCAGTCAGTTGTCTCATCTTCCAGTTTGAAGCTTCATTCAGCTTCTGGTAGAGGTATACCAAAATGATGGGGCCCCAATTCTCTTCATGAACTATATTCAAATCTATAAAATACCAGAGGTATGTCACATCCACGTAGGTTGCACTTTTGTCCACAAAGACGGATGTGCCAACCAAAAACCATGAAGTAACACCGCAAAGCACAATCTCGGTGGTACTGGAAAAAAAAGCTCATCTCATCCCTGGCCTCTGCTGCGGCAACCAGGTGTAGTTCATATAGTTTTCTTATGGTGGAGAACTTGATATGCAACCCATTAGTTGATATGCACTCTCATGCTGTCTTTTCTAGTTTCATTCCCAGATGCTCGACCATCCATTCAACCGCCTCAACACGTGATACCCGGGAATGGTTGAGTAACCTCCCTTTGATAGGTAGATGAAACAAGTTGTTAGGTCATCAAGTGTGATCATCATCTCCCCAACAGAAAAGTGGAAATACGACGTCTCCTTGTGTCATCTCTCAGCAAATTCCCCTTGCATGTCATGGCTTATAGTAACATAACCAGTATCACATAGTCCGGAAAGTCTGGATCTAACAATAGCATCATTGAACCAAACCGCACTAGGTTTAAATAGTTCAAATATTTTTCGCGAGTGGTTCACAGACTTTATGGGCAACCGTTCCTGTAACAAACAAAAATATTAGTCGTTAAAATAATATTTGTGCATAAATCATTAAAATTAAAAATGTGCAATAAAAAATATACCTCTCCCTCCCAAACATGTTGAGCAACATAATCATTATAGTAGATCAAGAGAAAGGTGTCGGAAGGTCGTCCTGAATAGCTAAGGTTCGCCTGCACCATTGTTGCTCCATGTACAACCTCCTCGGGTACCTCAACCTGCTCGGATACCTCCTCCTCATCGGGTATCTGCTCATGTGCACGAGAGGATGATGTCAGAGATAGACGACTCCTCGATGCTGAAGTGGATCCTCCAACAACATCCTCCCGCGGAACCCAACCACGTCCTCGGGCCTGGTTAGCTGCTCATCTCTCTCACACCGAGCAGAGGAAGTATGACTTGGCCTACCTTGTCTCAATCTGTTGTTTGGGTTTGAGTTGTCAGACATTTTCCTACAAAATAATAACCGCAAATAAGAGAGAAGGGAAGGAAACAAGTTTGCAAAAAGAAAAAATATTCAACTCATGCAACATTTCGGATGTACATATCCGAAAATGGTTAAAGGAGATTTCAGATATGCACATCTGAAACCACCTGCGAACAACCATTTTCAAACAATTTCATCTCCTTGCCCTAAATCATCCAAAAACCTCATGTGTTCACCCAAACACCCACATTTAACTACTCTAATATCAAGCTACACAATATAATTGATTCTAACTAACATATTAACCTATTATAGCATTGTAAAGTGAATCAAATGGAAATGGAGAAAATTTACACAAATTTGGAGTTTTTGAGAAGAGTAGAAAAGACTTCAATGGAGCTTTTGCTTCTTCAAACTCAGTTACAATGAATTGAAATGAGTGGAAATTTGAAGATTGGAGAAAAGTGGTGTTGGTTTTTTTTAATGAAGTTGAGCAGAAGCGTGGAGCTGTCCATTCTTAATATTTAAAAAACTTCGGATATGCATATCCGAAGTCACATTTTTTTGACAAAAAAATAACTTCAGATATGTACATGTGAAGTCACTTTTTATTTACAAATAAGGTGTATTCGAATATGCACATCCGAAGTCTAAGAATTTTTTAGATTTTTTGTCAAAGGCCTTCTAAAAAACAGAGGTGGTAAAAAATAAAAACTCCCTTCTTATTTTAGTCATGTATAGCCCAAATGACACTAGCCTTCTTCTATATTATAGCCCAAATGACACTAGCCCACTTTTGTTGTATAGCCCAAATAACACTTATTGTTTTCAGTAATGAATGAAAAGATATTCAAATAACTTTGTTTTATTATTACAATTTACAACATCAATTAAAATGACCAAAAAGTGATATAGCTCAAGTAGACACTAGTAAACTCCAATTAAAAACGAATAGTTTAAAATAATCTGAATTAAGATCCTGGCATAAATAATCCTTAGCACCAACAAGTTAATATTCATCACTTTGGCAATTTAATATTTATCCTATTTAATATTTATCCTATTTAATATTTAATTACCTAGGTGTTAATTAGAGTGACCATCAAATAAATATTTAGAACACCAATTAGAATTACAAAGAAGTCAAAGTAAAACCATTTTATTTATTTGCCAAAGTGGCAAAACACTGGAAACAAGACAACATTGCAATATACAACACCATTGTGTTTCATCCAACCCAATGATAAAACCACACACACTTAATTATTTTATATCAAGATACTTGCTTATAAATCAATGGATACCATCATTGGATTGTCACCTTTATCAAGCACAAATGTCTTAGAAATTTTCTTTGAAGGTGTCACAATTTCCACATTATATGTTCCATAAAACCCTCTAAAGTTGAATTGACCTAGCTCATCAACATGACCATGACTATGAGATAGCCACTCTTGTTTCAAAGCTAGAAACCTTTTACCAGCTTCATTGATATCACCTTCTGCATTAACCAAATGTGCATTATCTCTACTCATAAACAACTCCCAAAATCCCCACAACATTATCCCTTCAACAGCAGGGTGAGCCAAAGCTTCTCTGAGCATAACTTCAAGATCATCACCTCTCACATATTCATTCGTAGAAGACACGTCAAGTTCAGTAAACCATATCGGTAATCCAAGAATACCTAATTTATCAAGCGAAGCGCAAACAATAGGCCCGACCGGGTTATCTATATGACCTTGAATTCCAATTCCGCCTACTGGCGCACCTTGTTCTTGCAAATCAAGAATGTGTTGAATGTATTTATTTGGACACGATTTTGTGTCACATCCGTCTTCGATATGATAATCATTCACAAACAAAGTAGCCGACGAATCAAGTTGGTTTGCAGTTTTGAACATGTTTGCCCTTATATCTTTGCCTAATCTATCTTGGTAAAATGAACCATGCAGCATTTCATTGTTAACATCATAGTGACTGAACTTACCCTTGTAACGAGTTAAAAGACTGGTTAAACGGTTTTGAACTGCCGTCATCAAATCATTATTATTCAGTGACTTAATCCATGGTTGAACGGTTTGTTCCACTTCCCAGAAGATGCAGTGTCCACGAGTTTCTATTTTATACCTTTCACACAAGCTTAAAAGATCATCGGCATCTTTGTAATTTAAATTCCCTTGTTGTGCCTCAGTCCAATACCACTTCAACTCATTCGCAAACACAGCCCAGTTGAAGTGTTTCACAAGGAAGTTGACAAAATCTTCATTGTCTATGTTTGATCGGCTAATACAAGTTCCAATCGGGAAATCATTTCGTGTTTGCCTAACTTGCACCGTGGTGTTAACGTAGCTGCTAGCATCTAGCCCAGAGAATTTTAGGACCACATCACGCTTCCGAATCTGCATTTTGGAGAAATAGATCTTAATAATAATGGAAATTATCACATATAAAAATAGAATAAAAACTAGATATCACCTTATCTGTCTGCATCTTTAAATATCTAAACCTTGCACGTCTATCGACTGCGAAAATTTGAAGTCCCGCAACCATTAAGTCTACACCAGAAGCAGGACCTTGGATATAAACCATAAGCTTTGATGGTTGCTTTTCAATTCTAAAGGATCCACCAATTTCATGCCACTGCTTATCCGAAACCTCGGTTTGTCCTCCATTGATCCACTGGTTGTCAGCACCAAGAGCAACATTCACATTCTGCGGCCCACTTGAACCATAACCAATCCGGACCCAAGCAGATACTTGGTAAGTCAAAAATAGTTTCACTTTATCGGTGATCACCTGAGCAGGACCATTCCAAGTTTGTGTTCTATTCGTTACATGTATGTAGCGACCACTTAGGAGTTCGTGAGGTCCAAGAGAATCTCTTGCCATTGGTGGAACTATATGAGGAGAACCGGTTTTAACGCTCATAGTGCAGCTACCAAGGGGAAACCATCCTTTGGTGTCATCAGATAGATTGCTGTTCTCAATTACATTAAGCCCAAAAATAACATTCTGCAAAATGAAAACATTCCATAGCTTAAATGAAAACAGTTTTATCATTTGTTATAGAAATAGCTATACGTAAGTACTTATATAAGCGTTTAAATAAGCTGTTTATCCAAGAAGATCCTACAAAAACAGATAAGTTCTTAAGCAATGCTTGTGCAAAACAAAATTTTCAGGAACAACATTAATAATGACGAACTAGATTGATCTGTGCATAATGGTTTGACTATATTTTACGTTGGATGATGACTGCTTAAAACAATCTTTACACCAATTTTACTAATGTGATTTACAGAAAATGTATCGAAAGTCGAACCTTTGCATTTGGTGGTATAGAAGGAGGTGTTTTAGCAGCATGCTTTACAACCAAACTGTTAACAAGAATGTCAGTGCCAGAAGGAGGGCCCTCTAAATAAAGGACCACTTTTGATGGAGAACCATTTAGAAGAAATTTTCCCTGCAGTGTCACCCAATCTGTATCTGTTGCCTGTACACTTTAGAACACACCAGCATTGTTCAGAAACTACGATAAATGTTAAGGAAGGTTTTGGTTATCTCTAATGCATAAAATTCATGGCTGAATCATACTATAACAAGTGCCTTTTTGTTATGTAATAATGTTTATTGAAATTTCAAGAATAATAAACAGGAAAATCACATGGCTTGGGAGTCTATCTAAAATTCAAAGCTGAAACAGAGGATTGATTGGTAAACATTATTTGGCATTAGCAGTGTGTATGAATTAAATCAAAAGATTTTTCTTTTAAGACTTACTTTGCAATGCCTATATACTGTTCTTGGTAATCTGGTGTTTGAACCCACAAAGTAGCTCGAACATCAGCACTAGTGACATTGTTGCCATATATCCGAACCAAAGCAGTGATCTCATAGGCCAGTTTGCGCTGCACACGTCCAGTTATCTCCTGCTGAATTCCATTCCAGGCTTGTGTTCGTTCTGTTGCACATGCAAACAATTTCCCAGACTTTGGAACAATTTTACCATCTGCCATGGAACCATTCAACACAATCTTGCAGCCTCTTCCAGACCAATTATTCAGGCCATCTTCAAATTGAGGATTTATTATGATGTTTTCATCTCCAGTAGAAACACATCCTTCTGTGCTTAAGATCTTTTGAAATAAGAGAAAAAGGTACACAAGTTAGTGTTGTTATATTACTATCAATTTAAGTGTAGAACCATCATAGACTAATAACCAATTCACAAGAATGTAGAATTGCATAAGGAAATAATAGTATTCGAAATGCGTAATTTCATGCATGATATACATTGTTATTTGGACTGGAGCAATTGATCTCTACTGATCTTATAAGCAAGTCAATTCCAGGAGCAGGTCCTTCCAAATAAAATATAACCCGATCGGGCTTAGTAGACAGTGAAAATGTTCCTTCCAACTTTTCCCAGCTACCCTTTAGAACAGAAGTACTGTAGAAAATAATGGTAAACATGTAAGGGAATTTTCTTCAATTTCTAAACAACAAAATATATTTAAAGTAAACTACAACTTCTTTTATACCTTCCAATGAACATATATTGTGTATCTGAACCATGATATTCTAGTTTCAGTGTAGCTTTTACATCAGCAGATTCCTGAGAAAGGCCAGAGCAAGACACTCCAACAAAAGCCGAAACCGAGTAAGCAGAACCAACCGAAATTCTGTCTGTGATATTTTGCTCAAGACCTTGCCAGCATTCGTTCCGGTCAGTGATAACAGCATAGTTACGACCCGACTCTACCGAAATTCCAGCATGATCGCCTGCTTTGGGCGAAGTTACATAGCCATTGCATGAATTGGGATGCCAAGAGTTGAGCCCATCAGAGAAGTCATGATTCAGCAAAATATTAGTCGCATTGCTCCCACTTAGATTAGAAATGTTTCCTGCCATTATCTGTCAAACAAAACAAAATCACAAAATAATAACAAAAATAAACTCTTTGCCTGAAATGACATAGCATGTCTCGTACTAAAGATGGTTTATCAAGCACTGATACAAACACGAACACCGGAATTATTGGATATAACTGCAGGTGACAACACGTTCAATCTTACTAACAAGCGTTTCAACAAACAAGTTATCTACAAGTATAAAAGAAAGTAGAAATAGTTTCAGACGGTAAATAAGTAACAAACCTGAGACTGAGATTTCTTAAGCTTCGATTTAGAGTGAAAGTTTGAGACACAACATGTGAATAACCTCTTCATTAATCATATATATACACCAGCATCACCTAGGAAATTTACAAGTAAAGCCTACGGAAAATTGAGGGACCAACCAGAAAATTTCCTTCCAATTTCATAATCCAAATATAGAATTAAGTTAATTTTATAATCGATTATCATTCAAAACTTTGGGATCACTATAGTTTTTAGGGTTTTGTTTCTGTGCTTTTTGCTTTACCTTGCAGATTAGCGATGCTTGAATTGGAATGAAAGGCTAAGGAATGATTCTTTGGTTCCTTAATTTAATGAATTAATTTTGTGTGAGACTTAGAGTGAAAGATTTTGAAATGTTAGGTGTAAATGAGTTTTCAATGTGTGAGTAATACTATATCATAGTGGGATTTGAAAAATCTAGACTACATTTTCAATTTCCTATGTATTGGAATTCAATTTCAGACATTGGAGATATGAGAGGGCAACTAGTGTAAGAAACAAACACTTCAGTGCTTTTGCAAATTCAGAGGAAAATAATAATAATAATAATAATAATAATAATAATAATAATAATAATAATAATAATAATAATAATAATAATAATAATAATAATAATGGCCCTGCCAGGACCATTATTTTTTAGTCGAGATGGAAAGGGTGCAGGACAGTTGAAAAAATCAGTCATCGTCGTCGGAAAATCACAGTGAATATGATATGTCAACGAAACAGAAGACCAAAGAGGACTTGGAGATGCAGAATCACACTGAATCTAGTGGCACGCCAAAAGGGAAACGACTACTTAAGGAAATCCTAGATGAAGCGATGGATAAGGAATCGAAGGAGACGAGGAAGTTCTGGGTTGATGTCCCGAGTAACAATAGAAATCCTGCTAATGAATATGCACTGATTGTGTATGTGTTTGGAGGCGAAGTCAATATGAATATGGTGAAGAAGTACATGATGAAGAGATGGAATTTCGTCTAGTTTCCATATATGTAATATCATGAAGAGGGGTATTTTCTCCTCAAATTCATAATACATAAGGATATGGAGATAATGATGATGAAGGGGCCATATACCATAAGGAATATGTCGATGGTTCTAAGGGAGTGGAAACCTGAATTCAATTTGAAGAGGACGTCTTAAGAACATTACCAATCTGGATTACACTTACATAATTGCATTTACATCTTTGGGGGGTTAAAAACCTAAGCAAAATCGGGAGTGCGTCAAGGACTCCATTGGTTACTGATGAGTGTACTGCTAGTAAACTCAAAGTGTCTTATGCTAGGATCTTAATGGAGGTGGATGTAACTCAAGAACTGAAAAAAGAGATCACCATTAAAGATAGTGAAGGAAAAAAGATGACTCAACAGGTTGAATATGAGTGGAAACCCCTGTTCTGCGAGAAGTGCCAAAAGTTTGGTCATACGTGTGGTGAGTCTAAACTATAATGTGGTGGAGGCCAAAATCTAAGCCACCAAAAGAAGGTAAAGCTGATGCAGGGCCACCCAAAATACCAAACATGGAAATGGACAGTGAAGTACTTAATCAAGAATGGACAAATGTGAGTAGTAGTGGGAAAGATAGAGGCAAAGGAAAGATACGAGAAGGGACATCAACAATAGTTCAATGCATGAATGTTTTTGAGGCACTAGGGATTTTGAAGGATCAAGTAGTGATTCAAGATAGTGGATCATGATTGTTACTTGGAATGTTCGGGGGTTGAATAAAGTAGGTAAGCTTAGGGAGATTAGCTCCTGTCTCCTACAACTTCGACCTATGATTATTATTTTGCTAGAAACAAGAGTAAAGAAAACCAAAGCTACTAATATCAGGAATAAGCTCAACATCAGAGGTATGTATGTTGATAACTATCTTAAGCATAATAAAGGTAGATTTTAGTTTGTTTGGGATAATAGTTAGATAAATGTTAGATATATTAAAAGTACTAGCCAAATGTTGCATTATGGTGTGTATAAATTGGATGGTAATTTTAAATATTGGCTTACTACTGTTTATGCTTTAAACAAGCTTAAGCAACATAGAGTTATGTGGAAAGACATTGAGAGACTGCATGGCCAATAACAAGATCCTTGGTACGTACTTGGGGACTTTAATAATGTTGCTAACGCTCAAGATATGATTGTAGTTAAAATGGTAACTAAAGCAGAATACATTGATTCCAATACTATGCTGGGGAAAATTGACCTTTTTGAATTGGATAATAGTGGTGACTATTATACTTGGTTAAATAAGCATGTGGAAGGAACTATATACTATAGGATTGATAAGGTATTGGGTAATGTAGCTTGGTTTTAAGATCATTTGGACATTACTCTCAATATTATGCCCCCTAATGTATCTGATCAAGCCCGTCTATGGTTAAAGAACCAGGAGAAAGTTAACTTGAAGAGACCTCAATTCAAATCCATTAACAGTGTTGTGGATTTGGTTGGTGATCGATAAAATAGCAAGTGTGCTATTTTTACCAATGTAGTAATAAAAGGAAGTTATCCCGTGTATCGATCTCGAGGACTGCGTTAGAACTATCAGTGTTTATAATGATTCAATTAAACAAAAGAACATTGGTGTTGTTGGAAGATAGGTAATAAAATCTACACTGTGAATCTTAAAACAAAAAGTAAAGAGTGTTTACACAAAATGATGAAGCATGTTATAAATAAGATGTATGAATTGCCCCATAATAAACTGAATCTCTATTTTATACCATCTATGTTAATGTGATCCAATACCGATTCTCAAGAGTTATTTCCCCTAATTCCTTAGTCAGAAACCATTAACGTATAATTTTAAAAACTAATTCCTTATTTATTCAAACTTATGTTAAGCACATGTAATAATATCAAGAATTTACGGTCATCACTATTAGATCCTTATTCCTAAGAGAGATTAGTGATGCTATTATATAATTAACGGTAAAGTGATATGTCCAACCTACTTTACCCATAGATTAATACCCTATTTTCCAATAGGACAAGCAATAAGAAATTGTATAATACATTGAATACATAAAAACATAGATTTCATAAAAGTATAGAAATTCGGTTCATCACAAAAGCAATTCAGGGACACCCCCTAGCATTGGGGGGTTTAGCTTATCATAATATTCAAAGAAAATACAAATTCAAAGTTAAGCATTACAAGAGAATGTAATTGATCAGATCTTCAATTGCTTCTGCTCTTGTTGATCTTCATTTTCCAAACCCTTGATCGCTCTTCTCCTCTTATTTAATCTCTTCTTTTTCTGATGCCAAAAAGTCCACCTCGTACTCTCAAAAACTAGGTCTAAATAGTGTCAGATCACCCCACAGCTATGCAGAAAGCTCGAAATACCCTCCATGAATTCAAACAAATCGATTTCAAAAATTCACTTTTCTGTCTCGCACCTGCCAACATGGGTCGTGTCAGGTGACACGAGCACTAGTGTTGGCCACTGGAATCCTCTTTTCAACAATAGCTTGCCTATCAGACTTTCTGACATGGGCCGTGTCATGTGACACGAGCGCCCGTGTCAGCCACTGGAATCCTCTTTTCTCTAATTAAGTATCAACATTTCTGACACGTGTCGTGTCAGATGACACGGGCACCCGTGTCAGCCACTGAACTTCCGGAGAAAACGCTTCGGAACCTGTCAACTTTGCCTTTATTCTTGTGCAATTTCACCCGGACCTGAAAATACAAAAACCACCAGACCAACACTTTAAAAGTATCTTATTTAACCAAAATTCAAACTAAATTAATGCAAACAAACAAAATGTGAAAATTAAAATGTGTGACGAAAACAGTAGAAAAACTAAGCAAGGTGTTACCGATGATGCGGTTTTGTGCCGGATAATAGATAGAAAACAAGAAAGAATGGTGACCAATCACAACCCCAAACTTATCTCATTGCTTGTCCTCAAACAAAGCTTAAGTCTGCAATATAGGTCACCTCCGAATTTCAACAAACCATAGTACCACTGAGATTTTTCACAACTCCCTTACTTTCTTCTAGACCTTCGCTTCTTACCCGACTCACGGCAATCAACTACACTTCCATAACTCAGCACCTCTTCCTCTGTCAGTTTTTCACACTCTCTCCAAATCTCTCGGGTTAAAGTGTTTATACTCTCTTGGTCAAGGTATGCACCTTCATCTATTGAGCTTGCACAACATCTGTAAACATAACATAAACACATAAAACATGCACTATACGAGGACTTTATAGGTTGTAATGGGGCTAAGGGACAAGGTGGGATACACAAAGAAGAAAGGGAAAACAAAGGGTTAATTGGCCCAGATTCGGTGTTATCTATCTCATAATTGTGTACTTGTTATTTTACAACTCAAAGGGTTGGACACATATTATTCGAGATATTTAGTTTCTTCTCCTCAATTAGATACTGGAGGAATTTTGACGTTAAGTTTTTTTTTCGGATTCTCGGTGACGAGTGCATTCTCACAACATTTTTTTTCAAGATTTTGTGTTTCTCTATATTTTTTTCATTCAATCTCTTTGATTTTTTTTCGAATGCACTCATTCACTCTTATTGCGAGTGTCACAGCCCCAAACTTAGAGTTTACACAAACCACATGGAATTTCATCTAGTTTTCATATATGTAATATCATGAAGAGGGGTATTTTCTCCTTAAATTCATAATACATAAGGATATGGAGATAATGATGATGAAGGGGCCATATACCATAAGGAATATGTCGATGGTTCTAAGGGAGTGGAAACCTGACTTCAATTTGAATAGGACATCTTAAGAACATTACCAATTTGGATTACACTTCCCTAATTTCCTTTACATCTTTGAGGGGTTAAGAGCCTAAGTAAAATCGGGAGTGCGTTACCGAATCCATTGGTTATTGATGAGTGTATTGCTAGTAAACTCAGAGTGTATTATTCCAGGATCTTAATGGAGGTGGATGTAACCCAAGAACTAAAAAAAGAGATCACCATTAAAGATAGTGAATGAAAAAAGATGACTCAACAGGTTGAATATGAGTGGAAACCCCTGTTCTGCGAGAAGTGCCAAAA